CATATTAGTGTCTGCCATATTTTTGAATGGTTGACGTTCGTCATTAAAGATACAAACTAACTTAATCAACAGTGGTGCTTGCTGATGTGTCGATTACATAATATCAAGCTCAGCAAGGAAATGCGATATAATGTTTGCGTGGATAGTAGGTCTCACTTTTTGCGATGGAATAAGGTCCAAGTTGCTGTATATTTGACATGTGGACGAATTGTCTTTGCGTTGTTGGTCAATAAGATGCTGTCCGGAAGTAGTTCGAGACTGTAATGTCGACGTCTGTGGCCACTGTCCACTGCCGTTCAATGTTAGTTCAAATGATTCGTACACTGGCGGACTGAAAAGAAAAGGAATGAATGATAATACTTTTCAAGAAATTTTGAGGAAAAATATTTTTGAATCCAACGAGGAATCGAAATCATTCGTAGAAAATCAACGAGGCTATTTCTGGTGGCCATCAGGAGCATGAAAATATTGGAAAATAAAGATTGAAAATATTTTTGGCTAATTTATATTTATTCTAAGTTTTTCTGTAAGGATTCATAATATTCTGGAAGTCGTAAAACCCACAAATGCAGAGGGAAAGACGTCTTTATAAAATCGCTCGGTAAAACGTTCTGCAATTTGTTTTTCTAGAGTTGTAGTCTGATCGTAAAACATACAAGGTTACTAATGTAAGATGCAGAAATTTTGTTTATACAAAAGAAAAAAAAATTATTCAATGAATACACCAATATTTCTCAAGTTTTTTTTTTTTTTTTTTTTTTACTTTAGGAGGCACTTGTAGAATTACTATAACCCCGGGGCTCACTTTAAATTTTAATAAAATATGAAATTTTGGTTTAGTATTTCCAAAGAAGATTAATGGTACAGTTTTCATTTAAAGAGATTTATGAAGTTTTTTTTTCTAGAGAGGTCGATAATAACTGATTTAAATCCCCTGAAGGAGGCAAAAAGAAAAGAATTATCCACTCCTTCTTAAAAATTAAAGAATTTACTATCCAGTTTAAAATATCAAATAACAAAGACTTGACTTAGACATGGAAGCCACGTGCTTGGTGTCCCTTGCTTTTTAAAAATAAAGATTTTTTAAATATAAAAATAATTAATAAATTACTCTCCTGTTAACTTGGAGGGCACCTAGCTACATTTCAGGAGGCATACATGCGCCCGGGCACCGCCAGCTGAGAAACGCTGCTTTATACTGTGGCAATTCGCAGATAACTTGGGTTATTCTTGCTTTTGATTCAAGTAAACAGTGAAAGGAATCAACTTGAATAATGGAGAGGCACAACAGAAGACCAGTACGCAGATAAAAAAGACTGTGAGTAACTTTTTCTTTTTATTATAGCAAAAAGGAATTTATACAACGTATAACGACTAAGCTCAGCAAGCGTTTGAGTTTGAGCGCTCGTTTCTCTATTGTAACTCAGCACCAAAGATTTTGTTTTTTCGCTCGCTAGTTTATGAAGGACGCATCAACGGCTTCTTCTCTTCAAATTGACGTTATTCTTGCTTCGTCAGTCCATAAATTGGCAAAGGATATTATTCGGCACTTGCTACCGCAACTGCAAGATCACGTGTAGATTCAAGTCATGAACTTTCTTCTTTCATTTACCAGTCACTTGAATTCTATTTTTGAAATCCAAACAAGGAATATTTCCAGTCATGTGCCCTTCAACTATATATATCTTTTTAGTAACAATCATACATCCACTATCATTCAAAAACTGCTGACAACAACATTTTTTCAATTTTATTCAGGCCAGTATATAGTTCTTTTCTGAAGAGCGCCATTCACCGCACTACAAAGCTGTCATTTTCAGGACAACGCTCTTCACCGCACTACAAAGCTGTCCTTTTCAGGACGACGCTCTTCACTGCACTACAAAACTGTCGTTTCAGGACGACGCTCTTCACTGCACTACAAAGCTGTCCTTTTCAGGACGACGCTCTTCACTGCACTACAAAGCTGTCCTTTTCAGGACGACGCTCTTCACTGCACTACAAAACTGTCGTTTCAGGACGACGCTCTTCACTGCACTACAAAGCTGTCCTTTTCAGGACGACGCTCTTCACCGCACTACAAAGCTGTCCTTTTCAGGACAACGCTCTTCACTGCACTACAAAACTGTCGTTTCAGGACGACGCTCTTCACTGCACTACAAAGCTGTCCTTTTCAAGACAACGTTCTTCACTGCAATACAAAGCTGTCCTTTTCAGGACGACGCTCTTCACTGCACTACAAAACTGTCGTTTCAGGACGACGCTCTTCACTGCACTACAAAGCTGTCCTTTTCAGGACGACGCTCTTCACCGCACTACAAAGCTGTCCTTTTCAGGACGACGCTCTTCACTGCACTACAAAACTGTCGTTTCAGGACGACGCTCTTCACTGCACTACAAAGATGTCCTTTTCAAGACAACGTTCTTCACTGCACTACAAAGCTGTCCTTTTCAGGACGACGCTCTTCACTGCACTACAAAACTGTCGTTTCAGGACGACGCTCTTCACTGCACTACAAAGCTGTCCTTTTCAGGACGACGCTCTTCACCGCACTACAAAGCTGTCCTTTTCAGGACGACGCTCTTCACCGCACTACAAAGCTGTCCTTTTCAGGACGACGCTCTTCACTGCACTACAAAACTGTCGTTTCAGGACGACGCTCTTCACTGCACTACAAAGCTGTCCTTTTCAAGACAACGTTCTTCACTGCACTACAAAGCTGTCCTTTTCAGGACGACGCTCTTCACTGCACTACAAAACTGTCGTTTCAGGACGACGCTCTTCACTGCACTACAAAACTGTCGTTTCAGGACGTCGCTCTTCACTGCACTACAAAGCTGTCCTTTTCAGGACGACGCTCTTCACCGCACTACAAAGCTGTCCTTTTCAGGACGACGCTCTTCACTGCACTACAAAACTGTCGTTTCAGGACGACGCTCTTCACTGCACTACAAAGCTGTCCTTTTCAGGACAACGTTCTTCACTGCACTACAAAGCTGTCCTTTTCAGGACGACGCTCTTCACTGCACTACAAAACTGTCGTTTCAGGACGACGCTCTTCACTGCACTACAAAGCTGTCCTTTTCAGGACGACGCTCTTCACCGCACTACAAAGCTGTCCTTTTCAGGACAACGCTCTTCACTGCACTACAAAGCTGTCCTTTTCAGGACGACGCTCTTCATCGCACTACAAAGCTGTCCTTTTCAGGACAACGCTCTTCACTGCACTATAAAGCTGTCCTTTTCAGGACAACACTCTTCACCGCACTACAAAGCTGTCCTTTTCAGGACGACGCTCTTCACCGCACTACAAAGCTGTCCTTTTCAAGACGACGCTCTTCACCGCACTACAAAGCTGTCCTTTTCAGGACGACGCTCTTCACCGCACTACAAAGCTGTCCTTTTCAGGACGACGCTCTTCACCGCACTACAAAGCTGTCCTTTTCAGGACAACGCTCTTCACTGCACTACAAAGCTGTCCTTTTCAGGACGACGCTCTTCACCGCACTACAAAGCTGTCCTTTTCAGGACGACGCTCTTCACCGCACTACAAAGCTGTCCTTTTCAAGACAACGCTCTTCACTGCACTACAAAGCTGTCCTTTTCAGGACGACGCTCTTCACCGCACTTCAAAGCTGTCCTTTTCAGGACAACGCTCTTCACTGCACTACAAAGCTGTCCTTTTCAGGACGACGCTCTTCACTGCACTACAAAGCTGTCCTTTTCAGGACGACGCTCTTCACTGCACTACAAAACTGTCGTTTCAGGACGACGCTCTTCACTGCACTACAAAGCTGTCCTTTTCAAGACAACGCTCTTCACTGGACTACAAAGCTGTCCTTTTCAGGATTTACCACCTGCAATATAATTACTCATAGAAAATCCTGTTGAAAAATCGTTTATTTTGAAAGGGCTAACATAACTCCCTAATGCTATCAAATAAGGTGTGGTGAAACTATCAAAATAACTTTTATGGATGCCGCCTGAAATATATTTTTATGTAAACATTTTTATATTGCTTATTGGCAGAACCGAGAAAAAACTTGAGGCAACACAAATGCGGTTCTACAGAAGGATGCTGTGAATACCATGAACCGAATATGGGAGCAATGATGAAGTTTTAGAGAAAATAGACACTTATGATTTTTTTTTTTATGTCCAAAATATAAGACTCAAGAACTACTCAAAGTAGAGGGTTACTCTGTGATGTTGTATGAGTATAAGAAAAAGCAAGAAGTGAAGTTTGTGATGTTATGCCGGAAGAATAAGAGTTAACCCTAGGCTTGATGAGGTCAAGTGATTGGGAAAACATCCTGCTGGGAGATTGTTCCAAAAAGCAGTAGTTCTTGGGAAAAATCTGACCGAGTGGAACTTACTACTTACTATTGGAATATGAAGGGACAGTTGAAATTTCTAGGGCACATAATGAGGAAAGAGAATTTAGAAAATTTGAAACTCATAGGGCATATTGAAGGCAAGAGAGTCAAAGGAAAACGGTGTATAACCTGCCTAACAAGTTTGGCTGGCAGAACAGGGTTTAGGATAGATAACCAAAAGGCAAAATTTACTAAGAGCTACAAAGAAAGGAGATTGGAGAGAGCCAGATCACTAACATCCTGAACGGACACGGCAGGTGATACGTGATCAAAGAATCTGAACAGTGACACTCGTAAACAAGTATAACATAGACTTTTGACGTCACTCTTTGTGAGACCGTGGATTGATTGAGTGATGTGTTTTTTATGGCTCATCAACCCTTTGCAGCTTATTTAAAATCAGAAAATATTTATTAGATCATAATTTTTTCTTTTTTAGATGATAATGATTTACTGAGACAAGTCCTATTAATTAACCCATAGCTGGGGGAGAAGAGGTGGATTCATAGCTTTCCCAACGGTATTTGAACGTAAGTGAATATAACGAATCTGGTTGGAATTGAAACTCAACTCTTCGTTTTCCAAATTCGAACGTTATCCATTGCACCACCTGCACATCCAAGCTTACAGCACCTGATATTCTCAAGCAGTCACCCGTCTAGGTACTGACGTGGCTTAACTTCGGTGATCATACGAGAACCGGTGTTTCAATGGGATATGAACGTAAGTTCGAGAGACTGTGGAAAGAACTTCATTGAATGACATATAAGACTCACCTTTTTACACTCAATACTTGTATTAAGCAATTAGGCGAAATACAAGTCGTGATAGTCTCCAGTGTGCGCATAAACATAAGTTATGTATCCCTCAACTTCGGAAATAAGACCCAAAAATCTTTCTTTGGGCAATTTTCTTGAAAAAGCGGGTTTTATACGCAATTCAATACGGTAGATCTTACTACTTACTAGTAGAATATGAAGAGAGTTAAAATTTCTAGGGCACATAATGAGGAAAGAGTGATTAGAAAATTTGAAACTCACAGGGCATATTGAAGGCAAGAGAGTCAAAGGAAAACGGCGTATTATAGGATGAAAGTGGCTCATCTCCAAAATGGTTTGATGGTATGAACTATCAAGAGAACCTATTTTTGATACAATAAAAATAATAGAGGAATTTCGAAGAAAGACTGTTTTATTCAATAAACATAGAAAAATTAATTTAGAAAAAGTAATTTTATTCAATAAACGATGACTGCATTTGGAAATCGTTGGATCTGAACTGAGAAATAAATAAATAATTCAAAAAGTGTTAAATCCCCTGAATAATATTTGAACATTTGAGAACACTCATCACAACTTCCTGTACTGAACTTGTGGCGTTGACAGACACAAAGTAGGTCGTGCGATTGGTTAAATAATTAATTCGCCCGAACAAAGGAATCAAATTTTTTTGCTGTTTCTCTTTTTCATTTCATCTCAGGCAAGACAATAAAGCCACTAAGACGCAAGAAGGGTTTACTTAGTGTATTGGAATACGAGAAAAAGAAAACATTATTAAGAAAACAGAACAATAAATGCAATTAAGAAAACAAAAATTGACGATTGACATTGCACTTAAGTTTTTGAAAATCAAAGTTGACTGGAAAGCAAGAAGCCGGAATAGAGTTCCACAGTCGAGAAGTGCGATAGAAGAAATTGTTAGCATAGAACTTACGGTTACATCATCTAACCATTTTCAAATGTAAAATGATGAGACCTTACCACCAATCTAGTACTGCGCTTAAATTCATAGAGGAAGAAAGCTCATCAGAACGATTACGATGAAAATATTTATAGAAAAGGCACAGGAAAGCTACGTTACGACGGTGAGAAAGTTACTGAAACCGAGATGCTAGGTCAGGGCCAATAACATTGCAGATTCTTTGGATTTTTTTCAAGAATCTCTAAATACGTAGCAGAAGCACCAGATCAGATACGACAGCAATGCATAGACGAATGGTAGATTTATAAATCTGTAAGATAGATTCTGGCGAAAAAACTTGTATAATCTAATTTAAATATGATCTAAGTTTATTAAAAAATCTGTTGCTGTTTCTTCTAGGATACAAACCATTAAACGAATAACGTTCAAACACGTGAATATTTGAGTTAAATGATCTTAGGGATCAGGCTAATGATAATGAATGCCTCGATTTCTTTATTCAAACAACGGTGTAATATCAGGTGTAGGCGAATTGCTTTTCGGATTTCGGTGGAGTCAGTTGATGTTTGTGACATTAGGATTCATATAACTAGAAACCTATGCAAATCAACAGAGTATTATCACTTGAGAAATTCGCACCTCTTGAAAAATTCCCTGCCAGTCTCACCAAGAAGATGCAAAGTGTCGCACTCTCTCATTCTTCAAAGTTCTGAAATAAAGCAACCTGAAAACGAGCTAACCAAAAAGGCATGAACGAAATATTTATATTCTGTGCCAACAACAAGAAAGCCCTGTATTTCAGACTAGAATGAGAGAGGGAAAGACAAACCGTTTTGTTAGAATGAAGTCCTACTCTTTAAAATACCGTAATTCTCCATGTATAATACGCATTTTTCTAAAACATAAGCAAAATTAGGAGTGCATATTATGCACAGCTACAAAAGAATCTGTAAAAATTTGCTACTTCATGGGTAGATTTCAGTTACGAAATGACTACTCACTACAAACATACGCCAATTTGACGTTAACATTCGGCGATTGCGGCCCCATAAGGATGTCAAATACAATCATATGTACCTAACAATACTTACAAATGTAAAATAAAATAAGAATTATAAAACTAAATTAGAATAATATTATTCTATGTTCAAAACCATTTTTTTTAAATAAGTGTAGGAAACGCTGACCGTAATGAAATTGGAGAGGTACAATTTACAAGGTTTGATTATCAAAACAGGGATGCGTATTATGCGTGAGTAGAAGCATTTTTCCACACTTTCAGCAAAAGTTTTGGGGTGCGTATTATAGACGAAGGCGTATTATACATGGGAAAATACGGTAATACATTTTCCCATGAATAGTGGAACGCGTGATATAAGACCAGTAGTACAAAAGGAAGTAGTTAATAAATAATAAGCAAACATTAAAAATAATAAAATAAATAGATTTGGGTCAATTTGAGTTGACATCTGTGAGGAGCCATCAGTTCTGCTTACTTACCTATTTTTTTTCCTTTATAGAAATTATCTCACTTGTTGGCTATTGTGGTATGTGGAGGTTTCCTTACTTTGCTCGATTCAGCAGCAGCAGCGGAAATAATCAACAGAGTACAACCGGAAGTCCTAGAGGTCATAAAAGCCTTGATCATGCCCTAGTCGGCCTCTTTCTCATTTTTTTACTTTTAGCGGTCTCTACTTTCAAGCCCAGCTCTAAGGGCTACAAACAATCCACACTGCAGAAGATGAAGCCTGTCCTGGCAGCTTGATGTCAGATTTTTCGTTCTTCCCGTGGGAACCGGCGGAAATTTCTCCCTTCGAAAACCTAAGATAGGAAAATTACACACAATCCTTGCTGCAAAAGACAAGGCCTGTCCTAGCAGTTTCACACTCAGATTTCTAGTTATTCCCTTGGGAACGAGCGGAGAAATCTCTCTCGAAGCAAACAACTACTATACTCAAAAACTTTGTTAACTAGGAAACCCCACTTTTTTCCTTGCAAAATACTGTTTTGCACTCTCTTTCAACCAGAAATAAAAGCTGTTGAACAGTTATTTTTAAGTTTTGGGTTTTTGTTCATTTCACTCACACTGTCGAACACAAACACACGGGCAACCAGAAAAATTTCTAACACCGTAATAGAGCGGGCTTTCTAATCAAAAACAGCTAATTGAAAATATTATATTGGTCGTGAGAAACGTCACGCCGTTGAACCAAAGCATAATTTGCAGCAAAGCCGAGTGTAAGACAATTTTTGAGGTAAAATAAAACGAAAATTTGAATCGCAGGCCTGATTATTTCTTCCATATTGTGCGACAGAGAAAGAACGATTCAGCCAATAGTCCACAACAACAATTCATGTAATCCTTATTCCTGGTGAGACTTGGATAGAATTACGAAACATCTCACGTGACGTCGTTTGGGTAGAAAATTTTGGAAGGTTTTCCCAAGAGGAGTGGAAGGTATTCTTTAGATTTTCAAACACAACGTGGGTGAAAGAGGACCCCCTGCATCTGCCAGCGCATGAATTAGTTTGATCTCGTTTCTACGGACTGTGGCGGGGCCACCATCAACCTCTTATTACGATGAATTTTTCTGCGTTCAAACACCCAGAACTTTGGGGCAGGATCTTGTATAATTGAAAGTTTGTATTCGTTTATAAAGTTTAACCCTTTGGGCCCTGCATTCCTGAACAATTTTAACCCTTCTGCCTGAGCTTCTGAGTCAAAATTCGCAAATAATTGGCATGTAATGTTTCACGGTAGATATAAAAATAGTTACAAGTGTTTACCCACCGTTCAACCGGTGGCTCGGCATTACGTCATTTTTCTCTACCACCGGTAAAGCGGTGGTCAGAGCTCAAAACCGTTTTTTTTTTATTAATCTTATTTTTTGCTCACTTTTGATATTAAAATATGCACAATTACGATTATGATAAAAAGAACCTAGATTAATGTATATTTGTAGTGAACAAAACAAGATCTCGATTTAAAATTCAAATGCTAAGCACTGACTCATTGATTTTGTTAGAAATAAAAAGACTCGAATTTACAAACTTTGCTTAACACACACGCAAAAGCGAATCCAAAACAAAACTCGTGAAATTTTGCACCTTGATGCGAAATGTTTTTCTGTCAATAGAAAACTAGGAAACATTTAAAAACAGAATTCAAATAATTATCAATTCTCAGAAACAAATTCTTTTACGAACCTTTTCGCGAGTCGACGCGAAGTTTGCCCGTCTTTTATTTTGTTATTTTGGGGCTTGAAGAGGTCATTTGGGAATTCACTCCCGGATATGATTCGGGCCTTTCTATTGGATGTCGAACAAACTTCACGTCGGCTCGCGAAAAGGTCCGTAAAAGAATTTGTTTCTGAGAATTGAAGATTATTTGAATATTGTTTTTAAATGTTTCCTAGTTTTCTATTGGCCGAAAAACATTTTGCATCAAGAGTTTAGTTTTGGATTCGCTTTTGCGTGTGTGTTAAGCAAAGTTTGTAAATTTGAGTCTTTTTAATTTCTAACAAAATCAATGAGTCAGTGCTTAGCATTTGAATTTTTAAATCTAGATCTTGTTTTGTTCACTACATATAAATTAAAAACGTAAATATTGATTTAATTTTATTTTATTAATGATATAAATTGAAAAAATAAATGTTTAATAACAAAATTATGTATGAAATATATGCTATTATTTAATTCTAAAGACTTTCAAGACATCTGCAAATATTATCTGAGTTCTTTTATTAATCAATTAAAGATATGAATTAGAATGTTCTCACTCAAAATGTCCTGCTTATCATTTGTATCTTTCAAATTATATCTTATTAAGGAATTTCGAAAGTATTTGAACTTAATTAATATTAGCGTATCCTCTGTATTTCACTAGAAACAAGCACATGAATACGTTCTAATTTCAATTTTATTTTTTTTACTTATCTTATCAAGAAAAGGCATTAGTTCAATGTCCGCTAAACATTTACGCGTGCACACACACAAACGCGCACACATACAGAAATGACCTAAGG